AGTCTACGCACACGACCATCCTCGTGGACAGCCAATATATCAAATGGATCCGTCTCTCCTTCGGCATCGGTACTAGAGGGCACAATTCCCACAAAAGTTGTGGGGCTGGTCGAGTCGGTCACGGTGGTAGTCGAAGAAGAAATGACCGGAGCACTTGAGCCGCTGCTGCCGATCTCCTCCACAAAGCACTTGATCTGATGTTCGGGCTTCGTGACAGCAGTATAAGTCTGTCTTCGGACTGTTGATTTTTTTGACAGCTTCCTGCGAACTGAACATGGGCGGCAAGAGAAAGTAGATTGCGGTGGGACGGCGTAGGAAGTCACGAGCTTAGGTGTTTGAACCTGGTGAAGATTAGTGTCAGATGCAACTGAGGTAGCATTGGATAATGAGCAAACATACGTTGTAAATGTTCACAGCCTCGCCATCTACGGCAACTGCGACTTCATAGCGTTTGCGTTTTTTCGCATCGGCGAGACTGAAGACATCACCGACGCGGGTTTTGCCAGTAGAAGCGTGAAGGGGCCGAGGCAATTGCGCCAGGACAGATGGGGACTGCAAATCCATGACGAACGGAATACCAGGAATTTAAAATGACTTAAGTTCCTGTCCTTCAAAGCGTGTGATCTTTTCCATGCAGACCCATCCAATTTGGAAATCTGAAAAATTTTCGGGATTACATCGGGCCGGTATATCCACCCCTAGGCTATATCAGGGCTAGCGTTGGTACGTGCGGCAGTCAGCCTGACATAAGCAATTAACGCGCCCTTCGCGTCGGACGTGTCTGAAGCTATGGAGATCGGCCTTGACTTAATTCTTGCTTCATGTAATCGCACCACACTTACCACCGAAATTCTGTCATTTCAATGCTATATCTGAGATATCGCTTGCTCCCTGGCCTCTCCTCAGGGATCAACTGACTGTTCACATGAGCATCATATCAAATCTACCGATGGCTATGGGAACCGACGAAGAGCAAGTCATACATCCCTTTTTCCGACAAGGTCAGAATGTGTCCTATAGCTACAGGTGACTCTGAGCTTACAATGTCTAGAATTTGGTGTCTCGGTCAAATCTACACCCTCGAATGAGCCAATCTTGCCTGTGAATTCCCACGTACACGAGCCTCGACCGATAAGCAGCCAAAGCTCCACGCACGAGGAGGGGCTTCAGGCCCCGGGGAATTACAATTCGGATGTCTCCAACATAAACAATGAGAGTTCTGCGGATCTCGACGAAGACCTGAATGAGCACCGGAGAAAGAGGCGAAGAACGAACAAAATTCAAACAACCGGATCCACTACTATTTCCAATTCAGGTCTGGCAGAATGGCTCGGTTATAGTGTGACAAACAATACGCCTTTATCAACTGATAATCCTCCCGAGACCGAAATCAATGTGTCTACACCTCCCCCCGACGGTCCGCTGGTGGAGACCCAACTTGTTGAAGATGAAACTCAATCATTGACACCATCCGAGAACGGGAAACCAAAGGGCCGAGGTGCAAGAACCTCTGCAAGGCAGAAAATTCTCAGACTGAATTCGAAGGGAGGGCTCCTGTCGTCACCCGCCTCCAGTCCTCCTCAAGAGGCGAAAAAAAAGGGAACTACAGGGAAGCGAAGGAAGCCGCGAAAAGCTGAGCGCAAGGTGGTGACGATAAAGTATAGTGTTGCCACAGAAAAGAACATCGGAAAGTTGATCGATGATATCCAAGATAGTCGAGCCGTTCAAAAGCCCCCTGCCACTATACCATCCGTTAAGCCGTGCAAGAAGGAAAGCCAACCCCGAAAGCCCACACACCCGTTTTTCAGCAAGAAATCAGCACAAAAACCCGGGCCCGAGAGTTTGAATGGATCTCAATCGGACAATCCAGATAGCAGCGCGAGCGTACCCTCAAGCCAAACTACAGCTGGGGCACCAGATAAGAAGCGGGTAGTTGCAGCTTCGGGAAGCTCCTTTACTAGCTTCCCCCGTCGTGTTTCTAAGTTTCCCGAACTGCTTGATCCCCTTTGGCCACCGCAGGATCTCGTGCACGTTAGAGACGCTCACCCACCTTCAGATGTTGATGACCGTATCTGGCATACTGCCCAGGACCGAAAAAAATCGAAGATTGCAGCTATCTCAATTAGAGATGACGAAAACGTCCTTCTAGCTGGAACAGCTGAAGCAAGGAGGATCGCCCGCCTGTCCAAACAGGACTACGATGCCCTGGCTATTCTTCGACATCCCATGCGACATGTTGCCAGCAGTCAAGTCTTGCATACGGCAATGGAAAGACAAATGTCGTGGTCCTCGCCAAACGGCAAATTTCCTTGGGATTCTTCTAGTCTCCCTCTTGCCAAACTTCGATCGGGACTACTCACATCAGTTTCAGCTTTTGATTGTGCAACCTACGAACCACAGCTCTGGACACACAAATACGCCCCTGAGTCAGCTGAAGACGTCCTTCAGCTTGGCCGTGAACCACAGGTGCTTCGAGACTGGCTACGGCATCTCAAAATCACAGCAGTGGACACCGGAAAATCATCAAAGGAGAATGCAAAAGCGAAATTGAAGCGGGAAAGAAAGGCGAAGAAGCGCCAGAAAACCGATAAACTCGATGGTTTCATTGTATCAAGCGAAGATGAGGTCTCTGAGATGGACTGTCTCTCTGGCTCAGATGATGAGTTAGCGGGCGGCGTGACCACAACACCTCGAAGGACAGTCGTCCGGTCGGGCGACATAGCACCTGGTTTACATGGAGTAGAAAGAAAGAATCCAATGACCAATGCGATTCTTCTTAGCGGTCCGGCTGGCTCCGGCAAAACCGCTTCTGTCTATGCTGTTGCAAAAGAACTTGATTTCGAAATTTTCGAGATAAATGCTGGAAGCCGGCGAAGTGCTCGGGATATGCTGGAACGCGTCGGAGATATGACGCAAAATCATCTTGTTCATCTCCTCAACGAATCCGAAAATTCAACAGACAACAAAGATTCCGCCAAGCAAAATAAGCTGAAGAGCTTTTTCAAAGGCTCATCCTCAAATTCCAGCAAGCCGGTCTCCCGGTCTGGCGAACCTAGCCCTAAGCCCGAAACTGCGCCCAAACGCCCCCGGGAGCAAAAACAATCTTTGATCCTGCTTGAAGAAGTCGATATCCTTTTTGAAGAAGATCGTCAATTTTGGAGTGGTGTCCTGACTCTTATCAGCCAATCTAAACGGCCCATCGTCATCACCTGTAACGATGAGAGTTTAGTCCCTACCCAGGATATGTCCCTTCATGCCATACTACGATACCAAAAGCCTGCTCCCGACTTCAGCGTCGATTACTTGCTGTTGGTTGCCGCCAACGAGGGGCATATTCTAAAGAGAGAGGCCGTTACCAGACTTTATCAAGGATCCGGATTGGATCTTCGGAAGTCACTGATGAATTTGAACTTCTGGTGCCAGATGGGTGTTGGTAGCGAGAAAGCGGGTTTGGATTGGCTACTTCCTATTTGGCCACCTGGGTCAAATGTGGATCATGATGGGGATCGACTCCGGGTTCTGAGCCTCAACACATACGAGCGATATATGGGCTGGCTCAATCGTGATATTATTGTGGCCCAAGGTTCGTTGGGTGAAGAGACGGAAATCATCCACAACAGTCTTCAATCGTGGGGCCTGAGCCTGCAAGATTCTGAAGACATGGCTGGGAAGAATGAAGTTGAAATTCTGTCCCCTGGTCAATTTCAGTCTCTTTCCAAGACAACGCAACTTGACATGTTGTTCCGGGAAGCAGACTACTATGATATGAGAAGCTCTCTCGACATCCTTTGCTCCAATATTTCCACGGACGCGAGCAATGTAAGTGTGATCGATAAGTCCACAGAAACGCCAGCTAATAATTGAATAGGATGCTATTGATATATCCGCCCCACCACCGCCAGAAGGCTATAAATCCAACTATGTTGACGATTACCCACTCCTGCACACAGAGCTGCGAACGGAGTATTCATCATTCAGTGAAGCCGTCGGCACTACCTTCGATGCATTGATAAGTAGAACTTTTCGTCCTCCAACTACCGAGGATCTGGCATCTTCATATGCGACCCGAGCCTTGAACAAAGCCATCATTTCTGCAATGCCCCCGCAGACCCCTCCATCGACCCTCCCTCAATTCCAACGCATCTTTGAACCTATCATGCGTGCCAACTATTCAAACCCTACACCAACCGCCCGCCACGCCCCCTCATTCGAAAATGGACTCGCACCGATCACGGAAGACTTGGCTCCGTATATCCGTGGCATCATGGTCTTCGACGGTCGCCTCCAGCAATACCGCGAGAGACTGTTTGCACTCACGGCGCAGGAGAACGGGCGCGGCGAGAAGCGTTCCCGCACGACACGTGCTAGTCGTGCGGCCCTCGAAGGAGGCGACAAAGCCTCAACGCGCAAAGAGAGGTGGTTCGCTACAGACACGCCTTACTACAAAGTGCAAGCCACCGCAGGGCCAGAATGGCAGAATGTCTTGTTCCAAATGGGGTATTTCCATGTCCAACCTGCGGTCGAGCCATCCCCCGAGCGCAGTGACCATGTCTTGGAGGGCCAGGTCATAGAGAATGCCGAGTGATTGGTCTCGTGTCTTGTACACGATCCAATGTATTATTTATGAAAATGATTTCAGTGATGTAGCTACCTGTTTCAGTATCTACAAATGTACTACTTACTTACTATTTATACCAGTTTAGGTTTTGAACATAGACATTTATCTACATCGTTCCAACCCGCCGTGAATATTGTGTAAAGTGGGAAAAAAAAATATTCGCTATTACGTTATGGCTTCAGATCGCTCGAAAGTCATAAAAATACATACATTGGACAAAAGAACCTTGAAAACTAGCAGGTTCGCCCATAAGAAGAAGCGCCGAAAATCGAAGAAACCGTCCTGACCCGCAGGAACCTAACGCAAGTCAGCACCCAACTTCAGCTTGGTCATATCAAACCATCAAGACTTACAGCAAGAAGCATATCAAACCCCGCACTGACTACGAAGCGACCCGAGCAGCCACCGGCTTCGGCACCTCAGGATTCGGGAACTGAGCAAGGTGATAGGGGCCGTGATCCTGCTTGAAATCAAAGATTGAATCGGCAGAGCTGCGCCGCGACTCAGAAGCATAGGCACCTCCTTTCGATGGTGGTGGTGCTCCTCCCTCCGTGCCAAATCGCTGTGTTGCGTAGCGAGCATAGAAGCCAGAGCCGCGCTGGCGATCTTCTAGGTCTTCGCGGTCATCGCGACGTATGCGCTTGTGGTATAGAACTACCAGGACGATAATGGCGACTATAAGGAGACTGATATATAGTTAGTTCTGCCGTGGTTGAGTATGGAGGATATAAGTATGTATAGCAATGGACTTACACCCCTGATATCGCGGCGGGAATGCCGACGGTTATTGCTGAGCTGGTGGGCTTTGTGCAGCTGGACATGGTTTCGTCGCCATTGCAGTCGCGACGAAAGACGGTAAGGAGTGTGGGGAGCATGGTGGTCGGTTATAGTCAAAGTTAAAGAATGTATTTGATGAGGACCAGGAAATAAAAAGAGTGAAGGGGGTTCTCAGATCAGAAGGGATATAAAGGAGTGTGGGGGAGAAATCTCCAAGTAAGTGAATAATAAGTGAATCACACAATGTCTTAGAGAAGAAAACAGAAACAAACCAAACGGGCTGGTGTTCCAGAGTGTGTATCGCTTCTTATAACCCTTATTCGATGTGCGGAGTTCTCCGTACGAATTGAAGAAGTTGATTCGTCCCGACGAAGAGATTAAAAGGGGGTGGCTGATATTGGTTTCTGGTTAAAATATGGGGTTACATCCCTCATTCTACGTGCCGTTGACATCTTTAACGTTAATTAATAGTACTAGTATGTATAACATATCCGCTATTATATAGAAGAGCAGGGAACACTCTTCTCAGTCTGCTTTGTTTGACTGTGCAGGAAATTAGTTAACTATGCCCAGGTGCTAGCACCTGAGACACAACGCTAGCAATAGCACCTCAGGCACCAATATGATCTGTCATTCCTCAACAGGCCTAGCAGCATCTAGCTTAGCCAAGATCTCACTCTTCGGCACCTCATCACCCCACTTCTTTCGCGGGTGCTCAAAAGTCGATGCAATCCGACCATAAGAGATTCCCCCAAGTTGACCAACCGGCCGCAACTTCTCCAAGTCAATGTGACTATAATCCTCATTGGCCGTGCCCTCCTTGACCCAGAACCGGGTAGCCTTAATGAGAACAGTAGCTGCAAGGCTCATGCCAGGCTGTTGGTAATCCGTGAACTCCTTGATATCAACCACCTTGCCTTCGATGTTGAACACTGACTCGGCGACGCGAGATGGCTTCACAGTACTCGATGGCGCCTCATGCAGACCGGTTATATCCCACTCTGACACGCCATATGGAGCATCAATAGAGCTTGCGTTCACTGCTTCGATCATGTTCTCCGACACCGTGTTGATCACACACTCCCCAGTCTCTTGGAGGTTGCGGTAGGTGTCTTTGACTCGACCGGGTCGAGACGAGAACCCCACAATGAACATCGGGGGATCGTGGTCGATGACTTGGAAGTAACTAAATGGGGAGAGGTTCTTTTGACCCTTGGAATTGACGGTGCTCAGGAACCCTACCGGTCGAGGTGCAATCCCCGAGACAAGGAGGCGGTAGTTGTTGATCATCGGGCGATCTGAGGCGTAAGGGTCGATTTCATGATGTTTTTGCGTCAGGCTGGCTCCATTGTCGGGTACCCCTTGCCCATACTCCCAGTTGGGATTTGGCGATTTTGTTACTTCGATGGGCTTAGAATGATCAAAGTCTGGGCGTTTGGCTTGGATCTCGTCGAAATTGCCAGTGTCTTGGACTACTTGGTAGTTTGTTTGTGCCGTTGCGGTTTCAGCATCTGATGCCACGGCCGTTGCTGAGGAACTCATTCTCAGTTGGTTCAATGAATGGCGCCCAATGCGAGGTAAGATCGGAGTAAAATTCCAAGTCCTGGAGTCAAATTAGATACTGGCCGGGCTTGCGAGCAAAGGTTGACATACTGGTTGGATATAAAGCAGCCAATTGTTCTGGTACGAGACATTATAGAGGAATAAAAAGAATTTGTAGATCAACAAGATTGAATGCGACCGTGATGCTTGTTTCAACTATTTGATATTTCTTTTAAGATACTGAAGAAACGTCGGGTGCGTCTTCCGATAATTTCACGATAAGATCGAAAGGACAGAGTCAACAAGGAAGTTTCTAGTTGCAATATTGTCAGAATCTAGGATGAATACCGTCATTTTTTCATCCTTGATTCTGACAAAGATCAATAACAAGGACCCTCCGACTGTGTCGTAAACTAGACCAAATTCGCTTCGCGTACGAAAAGACCAGACTCTGCTTGTTCTGCAATTTTGAACTTCATGAATTCTTGTGAAAAGTCGTATAGTTTATTAAATCATTGCAAGACATCAAACCCCAACAGATTGCATGATCCCCTCCACGTCTAATTGATCTGCAAGATCCAATAATTCCCGCGGTGGGAGACTGACTGATGAATTGAGTCCCAGTAGATCCCACTCAAACTCCTCGTGATCGAAGCTATAAGGTTCTTCATTAATTTCATTATATTCATCCAGGTTGGCTTGCGGCAAAGGATGATTTGCCAATTTTGGCGTCAAAGGTGCGAGTATTTGCTCTAATTGCTTGAGTTCAAGCCTGCGAAGTGGTGCAGCTAGATTACCCTTTGCAATGAGTTTATCGAGCACTAATGCTAGGTTGTCACACCAAGTATCGTTCGAGATCACCGATGGGGCAATCGCGCGGATCAGGTAGAGAACAAAGGCAGAGGACGATGCGTCTTCGATTTGGAATGGTAAGAATGCGTCTGTATGTTGGAATTAGTATTAATGTGTTTCAACACAGCTAGTAAATCGTACCCATCAAGTCATCATCAGCTAAAGTACGAAGGGTCTGAAGGATAGTCTGGGCGGAATCGGCGCAGCATTGTAGCAGGGATGCAACAGGCGGTGCTAACACGATCGTTTGGGGTTTTTGTTTCTCTGTTCGTTCAATGTGCATGTGAAGTGCGCACATCACTAGCGGTCTTGTTGTAAGTACGATACACTGCTGCTGTTAGTTCATGGTGAGACCAGTAGTTCGGAAAACACCCACATGATGATGAGCTAACATCAATCGAATCGCCATCTTCGAAGCACGGCTAATTAACCCGTGAAAATGAGCATTTAAAAAGGCAGTCAGGTCGTATGATAGTTCGGCCATGCTATGAAGAATGGACTGTGTGCTTCGAACGAGAGTGTCATCGGAATCGTTTCCAACCCCGTAGACGGCTAGATTTTGTTAGCATTGCATCAAACTCCGATCAACCAAAAGACTCAGACTCACTTGTCAGAATAGTGGCCATAAGCCGGGAAAGCCGAACATGCAATGTTAAATTAATCTGTTCTACCGAATCATCCATCTCTGCCGGCAATTTAACTGTGATATCCTCATCTCTGATTGAACTTGGGGCGCCAATCAAAGCGGAGAATTCTCGGTCCAACATATAAACCACCCAAAATATTGTTCTGCATCGCTTGGAGAGCTCAGGTCCACATATCTCCTCAGGTACATGTCTGTGTATTCCTTCAATTATACAGCCTCGTAAAGCATGCCCAATCTGTTCACGTATTAGGTACTTCAGTTCCAGTGAGAGACGAAGAAACCTACATGTTGGAAGGCAGCCCTTCTCATATCTATTGACTGAAGATACACTGCCCCTAGGCTGAGTGCTTGGATACAACCCAAGGGATCTTCGTCAACTCCTGACAAATCTGGCAACAGAGCCATGGCCCGAGATGCGTATTGATGACCAGGCGGTGTTCCAGAAGAATTCTTCTGTGTCAAAAATGCTTTTCCAAAGGCAAGAACAAGTAAATATTGACAGTACCAAGGTCTGTTCGAAGCAGCTTTCGCTGGTGGGTCCCGGTAGAATTCATGGAGATCTTGCAAATAAGCATGTTCATCAATCATAAAAGAAAGAAAGCCGAAATAGAACTTGACTGTGTTGAACAAGAAGAGTGCATAGTCCAACGGCGGCAGATTAGTGACATCAGGTACTTCATCTGGAGGATATGGCCGCCAGGTCAACCTGAAAGCCACACCATCAATATGAAATGGATCTGGTGGACAATTCGATTCTGGCACCTTTCTTCCTATCAAAGCAAGGACACGACGACAAAAGGACCACGACGATGTCGGCCCCATATACCCTTCGATATCCGAGTCAGTAATGAGCTAGAGCTAGAGCGAGACGATAGACTCAACACTCACAAAATCGGCCATCTGGTGTTTGGGCAAACGATGGATCTCGGTCAACTAAAGGATTTCGAGAGAACCTTGATCGTTGATTGTCTTGTTCACTCTCGGTCTCATGATCTCTCTGAGGGGTCCCTGGGGTATGCAGGGACGGCCCCATCCCTGAAAGCGAACCACGATCAACACACCAAACACATTTTCAGAAGATGGCTACAGCATACCAATTGACATTGAACGCCATCCAATATCTGCTTGATTGTCTAGCAGTGTGCTGGATGCTTGAGGGGTCGGAGGAACATCAACATTATCATCGCCTGTAAATAGTGTACCTCCTAGACTGTGATCAAAAGCTACCGGGAGTCCATGTCGCCCGGAGCTTCCGCTTCTGGATATGTGCTCCTCTAGCTCTCGCAAGTACCTAGTATATATTAGCACGTATAGTGCAGCTAGTTGGCGCTACTTACCGTTCCGACACGGAGACCCGGGCCTCTTCCACCGGAAAGTGACAATGCTTCTTCTTCCGCGCACATCTTGTGCAAGGGCTGACCCCGGAGCATTTAACCTTCATTGATCGACATCGCTCACAGCTTTTTTATAAAATGTGAGTCGGGTATTCTATTTTGGGGTCAATTGATCAAGATGACTTACGCCCTCTGGCACTTTTTTGTTCTTGCCTGGCTAGGTGTTACAGGCATGCCGGATTGGGACGCCGAGATGCTGTATAGAATAGGTATGAAGATAGTCTATGCTCCCGGGGCGACTGTCCGATATCAATTGTTGCAGGCTGCGGGGTAGAGACGAGACAGTTGGTTCAATCCGTCGGGATGCGCTTCCGACTTTACTTATCGGAGATAACAGCGCATCGTCTATCATGACCCATCACATGATTGGTGAGACCCTAACGGGATTGACTTCGCCTTGATCTATTCGGCTTCGTGCATGAACTGCGCATAAACATATTGAGTAACAATGGTCTGATTGGTTATCTTGTGCATTAAGTATCTAGCCACTAAAATATGTTCGGGACTCATCCGACGATCCTTCGCCACACTTCACGACGCAATGCGGTCACCATGTGCTGCGTTCGTTCCACTGCCCCGCGATTCTCGATTGCTCGCCGATGGAGATATCCCATACACTCAGAAACTGAGCCCCAAGTCATGCACTTAAAAGCCTTTGGCACAGTCAAGTTGGCAGCAGATGATTGTTCGAGAGCACGTTCGTAGTTCTGCACTAGTTCACAACTGAGCTCGTCGGCCATGCCTTGGATTTGTCCACATTCCAGCATAACTGTAGGTTTATTTGCTAGAAGCCTATTTTGGTGCGTGGCAATCGCTTTGGTTGCACTCGCGGCGTTGTGTGTGGCAAGGAAAAGAGCAGCCTTAGGGAATGGGAGGTTCTCCTTGCCAGCAGGCATATTCTGGCAAAGCATGGTGTCTGCGATGAGATCGTAGGACCGGTCTGTATCAGCCTGGGTATCATGGATGAGAGAGCGTGTTTCATGCTCAATATATGCCCCTCGAACTAACTTGATACCCAGAGTCCAGCCCTCTTGTGCAGCCAAGGTAAGATGGTGGTCAAGGTTCACCTTTGATCCCTTGAGGTAGCCCTGAATAGTATTGTAAATAATTGGTGTTTGCGATTTGTTATGTTTCCGCATCACTTCAATCGCCCAGTCGTCAAGACCCTTTTGCAAGACTTGTTGCTCTGCATCCAACCAGAGACGTGAGCCCTGCTTTTCTGTCGCAATGCAAATCTCATCCACGGCTTTGACCATAGCCTCTGGCATAGGCTTTCGCGCTGCCATTGCGTTCACTGAAATAGGGCCGGCACCTGTCAACCTAGCAAAGGAATATCAGATCCCATAGGACAAGAATCCAGGGCTTCACACTTACTTCACGGCAAGGAAGTCACCTGGACCAACCATACGCAGTGTCTCCAATGTTCCCTCCTTCCACTCGTCAATCATCTGATAGCACTTGTCGCTGTATTGTGATTTCCGATATTCATCGGTCGAGAGCTTTTCATCATGATCCAGCACTATCTCTTTCGAATATCCCAATATGACACCTTGATATCCCATCTTCTTGATATCTGCCACAGTCTTCGAGACTTCCTTTCTGTTCACTCCAGCACAAAAGTGGTTATAGACCGTCCAGCGAAGAAACTTGTTCAGAAGGAGGTTCCGATCTGGGTTCAATAGTGGTGATTTCGATGTCGCAAGGACGCCCATCACGGCTAGGGCAGGTTGTAAGAATAACTTGGATGTCATCAAGGAAGTCAAAATCAAAGACCGTAGCAAGAGTTTCGTTGGGATTCGGGCCATAGATGAGACTTCGACGGGCGGTTTGATTGCTGGCATGGCGGCATCAAGGAAGTGAGATTTTGTCGAATGAAGTCGACGAGCTAAGTTCGGTGAGACTTGGACTGATAAACCGTGAGGGGGTTTTATAAGAGTAGAGCGAGATAACATTTTGGTTATAGTCAAGAACGCAGAGAGGTGAGTCTAGCGCCGCGCTTGTGTCTTATATGAAAGAGTTCAGGCTAGCAATAACTTCCGTTCAAGCTAGATCGGTACCACAGAATACTTTTGAAGCAACAACCACTTCTTATATCTCTGTATTACTTTATCAGACCGCTACTATCTAACCAACTATCCGGTCACTGATAGTCAGCCGATCATGCATCGGAGTCATCCTCCGATGGAAGGAGGGGTTCCCGGACAAGGAATCCTGTCCCGCGATGCCAACTCATCGTTGCCTCTGCGGGGATTGTGCTATCGTAAATAGGGTAGAAAGGCAGCTCCGTGAGTCTTATTGCTCGAGTTCCAGCACCGGCCCGGTTCGAGGTTGCAGTTTTAGTTTGCGTTACGTTTCATAGATAGACGTTCCTAAGTGGGGTTGGCCAGTGATGGTCTTATTGTGCACTATTTGACTTTCAGTGTTATCAAGCGCTCATGTATATTTTACTTCGGTGATGCGGTTCCGATGTTAATTCAGTGCCATCTGGTGATTCTCAGAAGTCGCTTTCAAGCCCCGGGACATCACCTTGGAAGTACCATCAGTAGTATCGGAATATGTTCACTCTCACCTCCATAGGGGAGAAAAATGATATGTAAAATTAAGCGAAAGAACATCAAAAGACATTGAAGTATTGTTATTGTTGTTGCATTAGCGTCGAGTTATTGCCTACATATATTTAAGACAGTGTGGGGATATGCAGAAGTTCAATTTATATCGTTCGAGTCATAAATTATATCTAAATTTTCCCTCCTTAAACCTCGTTTGAAGGATATGTGACCTTTTCCAGAGGCACAAACTCTTCCTTGATTGTGCGAGCGCTAACGAATCGCTGCAGATGCGCCATAGTGCCAGTCTTGTCATTTGTACCCGAGTCGCGGCTACCACCAAACGGCTGCTGAGCCACAGTAGAGCCGGTGCACTTTGTATTCAAGTAGAGCATGCCAGCCGCGTGCTTGAGAATAGTCTGCGCTTGCCGGCTGACATAGGGGTCCTTGGCGAAGATACTCCCGGTCAATGCATAGCGAGAAGTTGTATCAACCAGCCTCAATGTTTCCTCCCATTCAGCATCTGGGTAAACATAGACGCCAAGAATGGGTCCAAACAGCTCCTCGGACAAAATCTTATGGTGGGGGTTGGAGGTGCGATAGACGGTGGGATGGACGTAATAGCCCTCTGTTTTAGATGCCTTTCCGCCAACGATAAGGTCCAGCTCCGAGTCGCTCTTTGCGTCCTCGATGAACTTGTTGAGTTTGTCAAATGAACGCTCGTGAATAACCGGGTTAATGAAATTACTATAGTCTTCGACATCCCCCACCTTGAGAGCTGCGGTCTCTTCTGCCAGGACCTTTTGGAACTCGGGCCAGACAGACTCTGCAACGTAAACACGCGAGTTGGCAGAACACTTTTGACCTTGGTATTCAAATGCTGCTCGGATGGTGTTCAAAGCCGCGCTTCTCACATCTGCAGATGGATGGACGACGCCCCAGTTCTTGCCACCGGTCTCGCCGACCACTCGAGGGTAGGAGTTGTAGATACCGGCACCAATGCCATCACCGATCTTCTTCTGGATACCCTTAAACGTAGTAGTGGCCCCAATGAATGTTAGGGCGCCAAACTCGGGCCTCTTGAGGATAGTGTTGGTGATTTGCTCGGCATCACCGGGCAAAAACTGGATAACATCCTTAGGCAGACCGGCCTCAAGCAAAATTTGATGAAGCAACCAGCTAGCATGAAGCGCCGAGTCCGAAGGCTTCCAGATAACGACATTTCCAAGTAATGCAGCAGGTCCAATAAGCGTTGCTCCGAGTGCAGTGAAGTTAAATGGAGAAATGGCGTATGTGAAACCCTCGAGCGGGCGATACTCCATCTTGTTCCAGTTTCCATCGAGTTGGACCCTAGGTTGCTGGGAGTACAACGCCCATGCCTCTTGGATATAGTGGCGGAAGAAATCGGCCGTCTCGGCAGCGGCGTCGATCTCTGCTTGCCATATGTTTTTTCCTTGGCCAAGCATTGTGGCTGCGACCATTTCTGAGCGATATTTGCCGGTGATGAGCTCGGAGGCTCGAAGAAAGATGGCGGCACGATCTTCGAAGGGGGTAGCTTCCCATGCGGGCTTTGCGTTGAGGGCTGCATCGATGGAAGCGTTGACTTGCTCTGGGGTAGCAGAGGCGTAGTTCGCGACAATTTCGCTGTGCTTTGAGGGGTTTGGTTGGGAGCGGGATTCCTTAGTAGTGATCTAGTATACGTGAGTTGCATGTCTCAAGTTGGTATCCGTGATTTTTAACATACCTCTGAGCCATTAATAGTGATAGGAATTGTGAACGGGAATTGTCCCTTGAGTTTCTTGATTGTCTTGGTCAACTCAGCTCTTTCTGGAGAACCTTTGGCGTAGTTGAGCTGATTTCTGTCAGTCAAAGTTCAATTATGTACTTTGATATTGCTCACCATCTTTTCATTCTCGAATTTGGGAGGGTTCAGCATGGTCAAGTATCGCCTTGAATATCTATCTAGAGTGCGAGGCTTGAGACAATTCAGCCTCGCTCCTCGAGTAATAGTAACAGGACGCATATTGTGTTGGAATGAGAACAGAGGTACACAGGTTTCGGCCAATGTTAGTTAGAGCAAGATCAATTTGTCAACACCCCGGCAGATAAGCTGTTAAATATGATATTCATACATTGCCTCGGTATACTAGCCATCGGGGGGGTCTTCCGAGTGGGGAGCTGTACAGCAGTGACGGGGTCTTGCAATGAAGCTCCAATATCGGAGCAGCCATCCGATGTTGGATGTTCGTTCGATAAGAGACGCAAATCATATCTTCGGGGTATAGAAGTATCGGCATTCTCTGCGAGCTCCACAATGTCATAGAGACCTGATTCTCTCTTTTGACTGACCTCCTTGAACGATTGAATTGAAAGTTCATAGACTGATGTTGAAACGTGCAAGTCCAAGAGAGACATCCCATATACTCTCATGATGTTGATCTTCGATAACGCCAATGCCCTAAAATATATTACAAGACGTTAATTGATTTGAATACGACGAATTTAAAAGGACGAGAATGCAGGAAATAGTAGTATCTTTCTCAAATTCAACTTTCACAATGTATGTAGTGGGTTGTAGCTGGTACAACTCGCCTGACCTGACTAACTCGGTTGGGCACGGTACTAGTGACATTGGGGCCCGTTATCTCTCTCACCTCGTTGGACTTGAATTGTCACTGAATTCGCTTTTCGTCTCATCTTTTTGAGAATCGCAGTGTCTCCAGGACTGGTTTTCTTTTTGAGGTTGAAAGTGGCTCGTATATTCGTGCGACCAGCCCCCTCGGGAGCTCCGCTTGATCGCCAATATCGTCATCGCCCTCACCTCCACACCTGACCCCGACAGCACTCCTGGCGCAACCACCACCCCGTCGGTTTCCTGATGTCCTTATTCGGCACATCTCCAGAGGATCCCTCTGCGGGTGATCCTGCGAGGTCCAAGTCCTCGCTGTTTGCTGACGAGCCGGCTACGGGCGGCTCTTCGCTGTTCGCCGATGACGACGGCGACGACAGCTCCTCTCCTTGGAATGCCCAAAACAATATCGCCAAAAGAACTGCCCGGCGCGATCTGGCTCGGACATTGCTTCCCAATACGGACGTACCTGAGAGCTATATAGACGCATACGACTTGATTCTGAATAGCGGGGACAGGGTTGGCTCTGGCATTGGGTTGACCTCTGTGCGGGAGATTCTCTCAAGCAGCGGGCTCACTGCAACTGATCAAAGCAAAATCCTGAACTTTGTTGCTTCTGGTGATCATGAAAGCTTTAATGGACTCGGTCGTGGCGAGTTCAATGTGCTATTGGCGATGGTGGGCCTAGCGCAAGAAGGCGAAGAACTCTCTTTTGATGCAGTGGACGATCGCCGCAAAAGTGAGTTGACTTTGCGCCCTCTGATATTTTTATTTATTATTCGGGATAATCCCTCTAACGCGGAGTTAATGCAGAACTACCCCAGCCAAAGGCTGGCTACCTCGACCGACTACGAAAGACTGGCGACGCGAACTCTGAACAACCATACCAGCGACCTGCTACTCCCTCGTACCATTCCTCTCCCTTGCAAACCCCCGGCTCCGCACAATCGCAAAGGTTATTACGACGAGCGTCATTAGGCGGATTGGAGTCAGATCCATGGGGCAGTCCAGAATTGCACCACGGCCACGGCCATGAGACAGGCGGAGGCATCGAACCACGTGTATCGAATGGATTCGGCAGTGTGAGGTCCACTACGAACGCGTGGACTAGCAAAGCGATTGAAGACACCACACAAAGCAACGTGGTTCAGCGGGAGCATTCCAATGGTCAGACCGAGGCTGTACAGCCTAGCAGTCTTGGGTCTGGATGGGATAACAATCACTTCAGCGGAGCGGGTCCGAGCGATGAAAGCAGCTTTGGGGGCACGGTGCCTCCAGCACTCGGTGGCTTTGGTCCAGAGGATGAGCCCCGCCACATCACACCACGACGTCGGTCTCTTGGTATCGGCCGGTCGACAAACCCACAGGTAGAGGAGACCGTAACTGTCACGTTGCTCCCCGAGAAAGAAGGCTTGTTTATGTTTCAACACCGAAATTATGAGGTTAAGTCTGCCCGGAGAGGTAGCACGGTTATTCGGCGTTACAGCGATTTTGTTTGGCTATTGGACTGCCTCCAAAAGCGATTTCCTTTCCGGCAATTGCCTCTTCTTCCCCCCAAGCGGGTTTCAGGTATGCACAACGCTAGTTTAGCGCACCTCATCGCTTACTCACAATTATGAAGTCAATGGCACTCACCTTTCAGCGGATTCATCCTCTTTCCTCGAAA